CATTACAGGGTATTATCCCTGATTGAATTTAGCCAATCAGAATTTCTTCTAGAATTTTTCATACCATCGATCATTACGGCATTTAGTATTTCCAAATTTGGTAAAATACTTATCATAGACCTTTTCTTTAGCAATTCGTAGATTTCCACCTCCATGGAAAATTTTGAGTCCAATTCAATTTTTTTGTCAAATAATTGCTTGGAATCCTTCCACAGATTTTTGATTCTGAATATTTTTTATCACAAGTTCGTTTGTTGGACTTTATTTTCCATTAAAAGTATGCATTTTTTTTTGTTTTTGTGAATTGGAGGTGTTTTCAAATACAAGGCGGGATTATGGATGTTTATTACCTGGTTTAACGCCAATCAAAATAAAAACAAGATTTATTTATACCACAAGTATGTCTTGAATGTATGGATAATCAAGAAATATGACCATCATAAAGAATTACGCTTGGTCATTGTAATTTCTTTGTGAAATGCGTTCGCTTTGTCCGGTTTCGTTACAGGATATGCATATTAAGTTAACATGATTTTCAAAATACGCGAAATTTTAAGGTCAGTATTATCAGTCAAAGTAGCAAGTTTAATAGATATTATTATAAAATATTATAAATTCATTTTAAAAAAAAGCCGAGCAATCAACATATATAAAATAACCGCTATGGACGCGATCTAGAAGTATCATCTTTTCTATGATTGATTGATTTCCTTTTTGGAGGAGACCTTAAATTAATTAATTCAAAAAAATAAATATATTTATCTAATTTTTTAGCACTGAATACTTCAAAAGAAGCCAGCTTTTTTGCCTGACCTTTGACGAAATTGATAACCGGTACGAGAATCCGTTCGATTGGAATGACAGGTTTTGCGCTCATCGGAATTTCTTCTTGATGATCTGGAACTTGGCGTGCTTGAACAAGTAGATCTAGACCTTGAAATTGATCTATAAATTTATTAACGATAACAGTATTATTATATAATAAACAGAATTAAAAAATATAATCATGTTGTTGAAAGTTTTTTTAAACCTAGACTGTCGTCCATCACTTTCAGACGATGAATATTTGCGCCTTCTATAAGATGATCGATTTTTCCTTTCAAAATCTCGAGACCTTGATCTTTGACGTGATCTGCTTCGATTGCTTGATGAAGACGAAGAATATGAATATCGTCTTTTTCTGGAATAGCTTCGCGATTCTTTAGATGAAGATCGATCTCGACGAGACCTAATATATATATATAATAAAATATCCAAATATTTAATACTAATTTAAATTATGATATCAGGATGTGTTCGTGTAAATACTTTACTTGGAAAATTGCTTTTGCTCTGAACTTGACCGTGGTGTAGAATTTTCCCTAGATATATCAGACTTATTATAATGATCCAACGTTTGACGAGATCTAGACAAACTTTAGTGTACACATAATTATTAATATATATACAATAGACAATAAAAAAATCTATTAAACAAATATCGATTTTTTAACCTTTTTCTTTCAAGGTTTGTAAATTCGAAATCAAGATCTTCCCCTCCTAAATACTCCATTTTTTGCTTACGTTCTTTTTGTAATTTTTTCTCTTCATCTACTTGGACTACAATCAAAATTTCGGTTGAAGTAATTTTAAATAAATAAAAATATAAATAAAACAAAGTTCAAGAATTACTTTGTTTATTTAAACCCATTTGAAGTTTCAAACGTAATTTCTCTGCAGGCGTAAGACTTTTAAGAAGAGGCTTTTCATTATTTGAGGCAGTACTAGTGCTGGCAGTAGAGTTTTGACTTCTAGACGACAATTCATTTTTCCTGAAGATATAAAAAATTAATAAATATCATTTTTTTCACAAAAAAGTTACAATAGAATTTTCTAATATATAATATATAAAATTGTATTTTTAAATTTGTCAATTTTGATGAAAAAAGAAAAGTTTTAATCCCGGATTAAATATAAGGCTTGATCACCAAGTTTCTTGTTGACTTGATCCATCATACTGTCGAAAAAGAAATTCACCAACCGTGTAATTGATGAAGATCCTCTTTTTATTTGTGTAGAATATGATGAATTATCATCATCACCTTTTTCTAATGTTGTTTCATTTTGTTGTAATATATTGTCGGAACTGCCAAATTCAATAACAAAGTTGTCATTGCTTTCAATGCTATTTCCTTTATCTTCATCATCAGAAGTACTTGAAGATGAATCACTGTTTAGGAAAAAAACATTAAATACATTTATATAATAATTATAATAAGATAAATAAATATATAAAGTTTTAAAATATACGTTTCCATGTAAGGCTCATAACTCGGAGAATCTCGTATAGAATAAGAGCTAATAAAAAATTGCAATTATTATAATTTTGAAAAAAAAACTTTTTTGATCGAAACTATTTTTATATGTATATTTACCGATTTGGTGCATGGGATTTGTCCTTTTGCTTTTCTCTTCTGTTTCTATTATGCATATGATGGCGTGATTTTCTTTCTTTAATCTGAACGAATAAACATAGCATTAATAAAAAAAATTTAAAATGTAATTTTTTGTATATTAAAAAAAAAACTAACCTTTTGATTTTCTTTTAGTTCTTGCACTTTTTCCTCTCTATCACGTTTTGCCACACGTAATAACCTTGTATAATCTGGTATGCTATATTTTTTGCCCATCTCGTTCAATACCTGACGTTCTTTATCATTTAATTTGTCCACATAATGCAATATATCTTCTTGTAAAAAAACCCCTATTAGTTAAGAATATCAAAATTATTAATTTGTTTGAAACAAGTTAATGTGAATTTATTAAAGGATATCATCTATGAGATTTAATTCTTCTTCATCTTCGCTCACAATTTCTTCTTGTTTTTCAGATTCATAATTGTAACCAAATTTATTACTAATTTCAGGTTTTCTAAAAGAGAAATTATGAATATAATATAATCGTTTAACTCTTGAAACCAAATTTAAAAAATACAAGTATTTTCTAATTTATACTTTACTCTTGTAGTTTCTTCATCATTGCTTTATGTCTTTCCAAAAGGCTAGACCAATCAGCTTCGATATCTTCGAGACACTCAGATTCAGTAACTATTTATAACAACATCAGACATTTTATGGTTGTATAATCTTATTTAAAAATAATTATTACAGTAAATGACAATCAAATAATATTTCAGCTAACCATTACGACGTTCATTTTCAACCAAATCGCGAAACCTTTCAAAATTCAATTCTTCTTGAAAATCACGTTCATCTGTAGGCATATTTAAAACATTTGGATCATTCAGAGGTAAATAATCCAATAAAGCTCGTCCATCAAATCTAATAATTATAACAAAGTTTCAATTATATATACTATTCACTCAAACATCAATAAAAGTATATCAAAAGATAAACCAAACCTATCAATTCTTGTTTCATTATCTCCTTGCCATAACATTCTATTTAAGATAACACATTTTTTTTGTTTTAGTTAATTTTTTTGTATATACAAACAAGTCTTTAACAAAGAAAGAATATGCAAGAGTTTTGTTGCTAATTCTAGCTACTGATATGGCTTTTTTTGGTGTTAGTATATATAAATATATATATATTTAAGAATCACTGATGATTGTATAAGAAACTCTGGCCTACAGGGATTTATCAGAATTTTCGTAATAAAAATGTTGTTCGGCATCAGGATGTAGCTTGGTTGCATTGCCAGTAAGACGAAGTAATTGATTGGGATCTCCAAGCTAGTAGTTTCAAGTTCCAAGCATTAGAAAAATTATAAATGTTAGAAAAAAAAGAGTAAAGAATACCTTGGACTCATAATAAGCTCTTCTACGCTCAGCTCTTTTCTTATGATCTACCATCAACTCCTTAATCTAACCAGATAAAACATGGTGAGTAAATTTATCATATTCTTAAAAAGTTCTCAATTTTAATGTATATTATACTTTTTTTTCTTGTTGTCTAGCGGCATGCCACATTTTACTATATAATAATAATAATATTTTTTTAATTTTTCAAATATAGCAAATTTTCAGGGTATATATATATATATATCCAAGTTACACAAATATCATTTGTAAAATATAGGACATACTGTAACAAAACCCATCAAAGTGAACATTGTGACACACAGGGTTCAAAATTAGTATATCAGTAATAATATGAAATCATAAACAGGACCTTTGATAGGAAAGTCAATTCAAATTGAGATTTTTATGCAGCTAAAACATTGTTTGAAACTTTATTTACAATCTTTGTATATTCCTCAATTTAATAAATTTTTTGTAAACAAATAAAATAAAATAAATCGTTAAGACGCTGTCTTTTAAAAATGAAAAAAAAATTCATTCAAAACAAGGAAGATAGGATAATCCATCAGCAGGAGTTGGTGATTGAGGATCTTGACTATTTTTTAGATAATCTTTAGTGGATTTTTCTGGTGAGCATTGAACTGTATTCACCTTTATATAACTAGCATCATTTAAATGTCTATTTATTTTATTCATTTTTCTGACAGTTGAAAGTACCTCACTCTGTTGTAATAATAAAAGTCATCATTAGTATCAAGAAAGAATATCTATGAATGAACATTCATTACTAATTCTTACCTGAAAACACATTAATTCAACCATATTTGTTGCAAAAATTTCAAAATCATCAAAAGAAACTGGTATTTTTATGGATAGGAATTGATTAAGAAGATATATTGAAGGAAGTGGTCTACTCATATACTTAATATTAATATATCCATCTATAGAGAAAATATTTAGTTATACATATATAAACAAACAGTATTTTTCTATCATGGACTTCTACTTACTGACCGACTGGATAATATAAACTCTTGCAATTTCCTTTGATACTGTTTTTAATAAATTGTTTAAAATCCTCATTGCATTTCTACATAATTTCATGTGATCATCACCTTTTTTTTCTGTTGCTTTTTTTCCTTTAGAGAATTCAATTAATACAATTGCTTTATTAGTTTTTTTCTTTGTTTTAATCACTTTTACTATGCCATCAAATTTATGCTTTTTAGTGTCAATTCAATCCTAGTGAAATAAATAGAGAATTAGTAGTGGCAAAAAAATCAAATGAATTAAAATTCACAATTGATATTCACCATCCAAGATCTAACATATCACTATGCATTCTAAATAGCCTTGAAATTATATAAACAATAGTGTCAATGGAATAGGTCCTTTCAAGGTTGCCATAATTTGATTCATTTGAGACTGGTGCCTCCAATCTAACAGAGCTATTAATATTAACAAAGTTAGAAATAATGCAAAGGTTGGTTCACATGTGTGAAAACACTTACCAATGTGTCATAATTTGTTGTGCTATATTGTAACCTTCATTATAGTAAGGATCAAATCTACCATCAATAAAACTTTTCCTCACCAAGGTTGGGACCCAAGCCCTTTTGCAATATTTTTCATTAATATATTCTTTAAATTCCTTTGTTTGATTCTGCCATTCCTGCTTTCTCAGCACACCATTTAACCAATTGAATTCTTCTTTGTCAAATTTTGATTGAATTAGAAAATATATCTTTTTATCAGAAACCTCTATAATCCCATTAAGCAATAAAGAATCCATATGTGTTTTCTTTGAATTTTTTCTTTTTCTTGAGCTTTTCTTAAAATTGTAGTTAATTTACCAGAAATTTTAATTTCAAACTAGAAGATTATTCAGGGTGAGCATATAAAGAAAGAGATTAAATATTATGATTAAAATCTCCAAGTTGCAGAAGCCATTCTACATTAAAAGAAAGTCAATAATACCTCTGTAAGATTTTCCCCTACATGTTCAATAACTTCTAAATCATTCTCTCCATCTTCTTCAGAATAAGTATTTGTATCTTCAGAAATTGTCTTGGTCGTTTTTATCTGTATAAAAATATAAATGTTAAAAAAGCAAGGATTTTTTGTAAGTTGAAACATTATCTGAGGTTACATCTGTGCTGACCTTTTTATTAATCTTCTCAGAACAAATTCGCCACTATTCAATGTTTGCATTTCATAATTTGAAATAAAATTTAAATTTTGTTCCTCAATTAAATCATGTGTTTTATTATTTGATATCGATCTATCAACAATGAACTGAATCTGTAAGCCATTATCAAAAACAGAATTAATAATGCACTTAACCTTGGAATTTGACATAAATAGCCATTATACATACCTCAGTTTGTTTCATCTGAAATTCACCTCTTTCAATTTCTACATCTAACCAAAATCTTTTAACCTCCTCATTTTGTGTTTGATCCTTACAAAAAGATAATAACAAAAATGATTAGTAAACTTGCTCCAAAACAGTGACAGCAAAGGCAGGTCCTTGGAGGCTACAAAAGAAACGCGCTCTTGGTACCAAGAACATGCCCTGGTCCTTCATGCAGATTTAGGATGAAGCCCATCAGATTGCATCTGTAACTAGCCTGAGCATGCCAGGCCGCTTAGATGGTTGTTTAGACAATGAAATTAAAATAAAAATATATTTTGCTATCACCTCATTTTTCAATATTAAACTTAAACTATACTGACCAGCATTCCATCTTTTTTGAGTTTATTTGCAACCATAATCCATTTTTCATCTTTAGATATTTGTGCAATATATGATAGAAATTTTGAGATGAGTGCATGTTCAGCAGATTTATTGTATGTAAAATCTTGTTTGATACTACGAAATCGAAGTATTGAAATGAGTGTAAGGTTATTTTTGTCTAAATAATCTTCAAATCCTTCAAATTTCAAATTGTAATAATATTTCTGACATTTTTGACGTTCTGTAATATTAACAATAAAATAAAAAAACGCGTAACAATAATAATAATAAAATGCGTAACAATAATAATAAAAAAACGCGTAACAACAATAATAAAAAAACGCGGTAACAGCTTTTTTTATTGGCTGTTGTTTGTAGACAACATTCCAATTCCGGCATTATTGGTCACAATAACTCAGTGAACTCAATTTTTATTATTAAACAATACAATTGAGAGATTCTTTAATAGAGAATTGCTTTTATGTGAGCAAATAACCTTGAATGATGATTTGGACAATAATAATATTACTTCAAAGTGTTAAAAGGGAAAAAAAATAATGAATAGGAAAAAACGGAGGTTGAATGACTAATTCACACTGGCAAGAAAACCCCCAAATTAATATCCCTAATCTTTTCTTCTTTTTATATTAATATATGGTATATTCAGGAAGTAGCAGGTCCACCAGGAAACCAAATAATAACTCACACTGTTGGTGACACCAAAAAACCATTGTGTACTGATATTCTAAATTTGGTGGCTATTTTAAGAAATCACCTTAATATTGATGTGAAATATAGCAAAAACAGATTAAGATTTTCAGCACACAGGTTATAGGTAGTTCATTTGTCACATGTTCACTTTATGCAAAAGCAATAAATTATATTTTAATAACATACCTTTTTCTTTTATCATTTATTTTAGAAAATCAATCAACATTATATGCCCTTAGCATCTTGGAAGATGGTAGGTTTCTGTCTTATAAGCTGGCATCTGCAGATTTGCCATTTGATTTCAATTCACGTTCAAAGTACAAGGGAATATTATGGATGATGGCCAAGTTTCATGTAAGTGAATAATATGAGTGTTATATGTTTCAAAGTATATAATAACCTCTTTGCTATCTTTAGGATGAAATGATTCAACAAATGGCTATTTTAGACAAAATTGATCATTTACTTATTACATGTAAAGGCAAAACAGTACATGATATTTTGAGAGTGTAATTCATTCCAATATAATAAAGGACAAATGGTAGTCTTAGTGCATTATTTTTATTATTTTTTACTTAAAAAATTTTTAAACATTTGTGTCCCGTTGTTTATAGGGGTGAGATCCAAGTCTTGGCTACACAGGATGAAAGAAATGAAAATAGCAATCCATTCCAAAGAAGCAAACTTGGTAGGAAGGTTGATATGCTGGGGTTCTTATTAAACATACCAAACAAAATGGAAATAATATTTGGTGAAGTATCTTTAGGATTAGGACCATTTGGGTTGCCTGTAGCAACCAAGAAGAAGAAATATGTTGACAAGATAAAACTTTCGGTAATAATGAGAGATGCTTTAAATAAAACTTTAAAAGGATTGAATTTTGTATCTGATGAGCAAAGGAAGAAATTGGTTGTTTTTGGTTGGACGCAGATAGGTATAGGTTTTTTTTTCAATGCATTATGTAGGTTTTATTTCCAGGGTTTGTTGGTTAATTGAAATATTTCTCCTAATACAGGATTTGAAATTAATCTTTATGTAATGACGTGGTATGGTGATGGGATTTACCTTTTTGGTTTAATAGATAAGTGCATTTGACCATGCAATGAAAATGATTGCATGCTATATGAAGACATTTATTGTACTTTAAAAGAATTGGAGGTACACTATTACTTTTTATTCTATATGACAATTGATTTAATTGATTTATATGATCAATCAACTAATTTAACTTAATTTTCATAGAATAAATTATCAGAAACTGAAAGTATAGCACAAACATTGCATGTTTTGAACATCAAAGGAAAACGAAGAAATCTTGTAACTGAGAATATTCCTATTCTAAACGTGAACAAAACTCCTGAATAATAATGTTATTTAATGCTGTAATCAAATTCTTATTAGATATTTGAGAATTAGTGGTGTTTTAATTTTAAATTTAAGTTGCTTAATTATTTTAATTTGCAAACTAAATTTTATAAATTGTTAAATAAATTGTTTTTCAAAAATTTAAATTTTTTATTCCATATCCACCAATTATGAATCACAATAAAAGAAAAAACTAAATCCTTATTGAATTTGCACCTTCGACCTAATTATATTAAATTTTGATTAAAAAATGAGATGTAGATAAAACACCCTTAATCATCATGATCACATTATTGAAGCCACCATGACTAAATTTTGAACCCTGTAATCCTTAGTAATACTAATGTTCACTTTG